CCAAATTAATGTGGTTCGAAGTCCCTGACTTATCGATCCAGGTGGGGGCCCCCCCCCCCCCCACATATAACCCTTTTTGTCCAAAGACTCATCCTCGAGGAGGCTAGGATCGTGGGGGTGGGTTAGGTGGTCGACGTTTAAAGGTTCGAGACTTTCCTAGCTCAGGGTTTTAAAAGTTATTCTGGGAAGTTCTTGATTTCAATCAACTTCATTTTCATCCTCAAAGAAGTCCTCGTTATCATGATAGTAATCCACAAAATGGATGTATTCAGTCTCAGGTTCAGTTGAAATTTCTTCCTTTTTTACTGCAATTGATTTAAATTTAAACCTTGCAGGGTCAAAGGACTGGGGAGGCCTAAAGGTTGACTGGGGATGGCTAGATGTTAGTTCAAGGTGCGGAGTCATAAAAAGGGCTTCGTATCCACAGAAGGTCCCACTAAGGGTCCGGTCATCAATATTAAGTGGAGATCTTACATGGTGGGACACCGTAACGCCCCTGATGTTACTAAAAGGACCACTGGGTGGTCCCGACACCAGTAATGTCCCACGGTTAAGTTCCAATTATACGAGGTAGGGGTGGGGCTTTAGATGGTGGCCAACTGGTAGAGGGTCGGTATTTTAAATTAAGTTTCTCACGCTCAATTGTCTTTCCCAACGTAGGGTTAGCTCACCGCAGATGGAGACTCTTTTATGATGCTTCCAATCTTGCCCAGAAAATTGGGAAGAGCTCCGACCTTTAAGTGAGACTTAGCCGATGCCTAACACCTGGTGGGACTCAGGGCAATATGACAATGAATTACGAAATAATCCTCTAGTTGTCTAACCCTTCCCTAAGGTAGTAAGGGTCCCGAGGAACCAATTAAAAGTGGTTAGATCGGTAGGTGGCTCAAAAAAGTGAGGTCGTTGTGGCTTAAAACTGCGGGTCTTAGCCTGAAAAGCAGAGTGGGACAAAAGCACTAATTGAGTGTGAATAGTCAACGGGTTTCTCCGTCATCAATTCTAGTCATATTGCCCCCACTAAGGTTAACGATGTCAATCATAAACTCTTTGGAGTCTTATCGGGTCCCATGAAAAGTGTCAAGTGAACAACCTAAAATGAAAGAATTGGGTTGCAAGATAACCACACTTTAACAAACAGGGAAAACTACCATTTCGACGGCGCTATAAAGGTGCAAGGAAAATAACTAACAGCAAAGTTTCAAGAGGGTTTAAGTCACCCGGTGGTTAGGGGGGTTTGCTAAGGCCTTGGGCAGCACTTAAACACTAAGTTAAAACTTCTTCTAAATGACAGTAAACAGGTGCATATTTTTGTTTAGGACAGCAAAACTACCCAAATGAGGACGAAGTTATCATAAAGCAATCTAGAAAAAAGATGGACTCTAGGGTGTGACAAGCAAGTTTATCATCCAGTTTAATGTCACCGATTAAATGTCACTAATCAGTGCAGGACTAACCCTGGTGACAGCAAAGCTAAAACATGTTTGTCTAGCAATCCTAGCAAATTTAGGATGTTGGTTTGTGAAGTAAGGACAGCACTTGAAATGAGATGCCTTGGCTCGAAGTGATTAAAACGTACAGAAATATAGATGGCAGCAGGCAAAAACAGTTGAATAAAACCACTATGCGTGGTGATGCCCATGCAAACAATGCCTAAGGGAAAGTTAAGTAAGAGCTCCTAGGATGCATCTAGCACATGTAAAATGCATGCTAGCCATGCCTGATAGCCAAATATATGATGTGAAACGTATTTAGCTGGGATGATTAAAATTAAAGGAAGTTTTGCAACGCTTAAATTTTAGAGCAACAATAATTATAAAGCTTTTCTCTTGATGGATAAAACGACAAAAATAAAAATGATAAAGGTGATAAAATAGCTTTGGTCTAAACACATGCGAGAGGTTGAGATCAAAATTAAAATAGTCAACTAAATCTTCTTTGCATACATGAAAGTGGGGTTTCAACGAGAAAAATTCCAAACTAACCAATAAAGATTAGGGCTATGAAAAGATCTCTCACAACAACCTCTTCTAATTAACTAGCTTAAAACGGTTGAAAGAGGCTTGACTGAACCTGTGAGTCAAATAATAAAACCACCCAATTGGAAAATAAAAACAAGGCACAAAATCAGGAAACAATTGGGGAAGAAGTTTTTCACCTATCGTCAAAATTCTATATGATTGAATTTGAGTAGCAAAGGGAGAAGATCCGGAGTCCGGTGGCTGAATTTGAAGAAAGTCCGCTGCTGTGGGCAGTCAAGTGTGGGATCTTTTTGAGCAACCAATGGAGCCTTCCGGATGGCGAATTCAAAACCAGAAACCTGCTGGAATCCTGAAACAGCAGCCGTAGGCTCTTTTTCCTGGAACAGCAAACGGGGGTTCCCGTGGGGAATATAACAAGGTAACAGCAGTTTATGCCATTCGTCCGACAGATTATTCAACAGGAGCTACGACAGCCATGAATCTGCGTATCTGGACAGCAAAACAGCAAGTGTTTGTCGAGGAAATCCCTGCACTAGCCAGGACAGCAAATGGTAGTCCTTCCTAAGTGCAAGCCATGAATAAAAACGTAACCGCCTGAAAGGCCGGACAAGGTGGGGAGAGGGATGTTTAGGTCTGGATGTGTGGAGCAAAGGATTTACTCAATATATCTGAATAACATCTCAGATTTTAGTAAATTGAGGGAATTACTTGAGACTTAATTTTCAAATTTCAAATGTAATTTAAGGGGGTTCATGGCACTAATTGGGATCCATGAAGAGGGGGGGCCGGCGTCAATTAGAGAGGGAAGGGGGTTTTCCAAATTCAAAACCTGAAATATAATTTCCAAGGAATTTTAAGTGGAAAAGAGAGGGAAATTCAAATTTGAAATTTGATTTCAAATTAAAGAGTCTCCATAATAATTAATTCGAGCATTAAAGAAAGCAATCAAAATGGGGGAGAAAACCCACCATGGGGCCGGCGCAAGGTGAGAGGGGGAGAGGGAGATTTAGTGGGAATGAAGCTTCCGATTTGGATTGATGACGTGGCAGATATAATTAAAGACTCCAATTGAAATTAAAATTGAATAATTGGGAAATTCTGTTCATGATATAACACTTTCCTAAATTAAGAAATCCCGCAATTAAGAGAATTTGAATTTTGAAAATTCAAATTTCAATATTTGAACAAACCGCTGAAAGGAGGGATTGGCCAGGGTGTGGGAAAGGTCGCCGGCAAGGTGGCCCGGCCGGGCCGTGGGGAGTGGCCGGGGCCGGGTACTTCCAAGGGGGCGGGGCAAAAAGGGTTTTTGGAAAGAGATTTCTTATGGTGGAGGGGAAGAAGATGAGGAAAAACACGAACACGA